CAATTCTCTACCAAGACGTTTGTTATATTTTTTTGCTGTGTTCCTTTTACCTGGGAAGATGAAGGTACTGGGAGTGACATCACAAGTAGTGATAGTATTCAGAAAAGCAATATAGTCAATATAGTTTTTTCTTGCTTCCTAGCAAGCTACAGCTGTTCATCTACCAGTAGCACTGGAGTACAGCACAATGCCCATTTCTTTGTGCTGAAAACTAGTGTATGGCTTATTGAGCAGGTCAAATTAATGCAATGAAGCTATTGACTCAATACCTCCTGGGACCTGCGGTCCATGAGCTCCAGGTAGTGACTGAAAGAATAGGATTGTGTATAGAAATGCTGGAGATTAGTTTCCTCAGAAGTGTGGCTGGGCTCTCCCTGGAGATCTGAGTAGGATGCCTCCTGGATACCTTCTGGGTGAGGTGTTTCTGTCTTGTCCTAGTGGAATGAGGCTCCAGGGAAGACCCAGTAAACACTAAAGGAATTATATCTTTTATCTGGCATAGGAAAGCCTTGGTATCGCCTTGAATGAGCTTGAAGAGGCGGGTAGAGAGACAGAGGTATAGGCTTTTCTGCTTAGACTGACTGGGAACTCTGGATTTCTGACTTCCCACTTAAAATGGAAGTTGTGGACCGATGACAACAGCACAGACATAAACAAGAGGCCCCCAAAAAGAAAGAAACTAATAGAAAATAGAATTAAATTTAAAAAAAACAACCTTATTTGCTATATACAAAAATATTTCTGCTGATCTCCAAAAAGCTAATAAGGACTTGGATTTAAGTTCTGAAATGCATATGAAGATGATAATTAGCTTTAGTATTGCTCTGGTGATATAGTGTGCTTGGCTTTTCACAACAAAATGATCAAAGTCAGTTGGAAAAACATCTGAAATGTCCACTTTACAAAAAATCAACAACACAAAAAAAGAGTCTGTCATGTAACCCTTCTGAATCATTTAGATAATGTTGAATTATAGACAGTGAACTGAATTATGCTTCAATCCAATAACTACTAAATAACTACTAGGCTGTCATCGCCTATATTTTTAAAGGTTTTGAGGTGTGTGCCATCTTTTTTCATTTAGCTGAATGACTCACAATTGGAAATCTGTAAAAATGGAAATGTTGTAGTACAGCTGCATGTTGAATTTGTCCATAAATGCAACATTTTTAGCTTTGTGTTGGTGACGTGGTCTGCTGGAGAGCTCGCTTAAATTCTGCATTTGGCTGAAATCTCTGGTAATCTGTGCTTTTAGTGGCAATACCTTCCGTATGTTGAAAGTTAAGAATATGCCTGTTGAGTGCTGAGGGTGAGGTCAGTGACTGCTTCAAACTCTGACGAATGTTTTCTTATTGCTCTTTGCCCACAGAGAAGGTTGTGTTCAAAGAAGAGGAGTTATTTCAAGAATGTTTCCTGCAACTGAATCTGCTTTTATAATCACAGCAGAGGAGAAATTTCTGGGACACCATCCATCCTTATTTTTGGTGGCTTCAATTTGGTCGACTGTCAGCTGGATGCAGCATTGGAGTGATATTCTTAGAAATGTGTTCTCTCAATTTGCACATCTACAAGTCGTATTATATAAATAAAAATAGAACACGGCGTAGAGGAAAACAGCAGTGTAAGAAAATATGTTTAGACATATTTGTTAAGGTATAGATGAACTGTTCTCCTGCAGATCGAAGGGGAAAGGAAAACCTATTTCATTCTGACTGCTTGGGTGTTTTGGCAAGGCTAAAAATCCCACAATCACAACACCACCAAATTAAATCTAATCCATAAATTTGGCCACCCCAGTGTATTTAAAAGGAACCACCATGGTCAAAAAACAACATTCCAGCTTCATTAGTTTACACTGCTGATATTAATACTATCATTACAATTGGACATGGTTTATTTTGACTGCTATTACCACTAATACAATAATAGACCCTAATAGAGGCTAAGCAATGGGGGGGGAAATGGGCACGGGATCGACTTGGAGTAATTCCCCCCCAGCAGCTGCAGCGGGGGGCCCAAAGGGGTCAGACGTACAGTAACACTTGACCCCAACTCTGTGTATGTGTGTGGAACAACCATCCCACCCTCCCACTAACTCCGGTCCCTGCAGACCAGCAAAAAGGGCAGTAACCTCTGAAGGCTTTGTTTGGTTGGCCGGAGTCTGAGCATAGGCCCACCATTGTAAGTCTGAGGACTCCTATGCTCGAGCTCTTGTTTTCTTTGGGAAGCAGGAAATTGGATGACTGGCTACCTGCTACAACAACATCCTGTACTTGAGAAGGCGTCTTTTCACCCATACCCACCTATTATTTCCCTTTTCCATCATACACAAGTGGTCAGCCAGCATTTTTTTTTTCTCCTTCTTTCTTTTTTTCCCTCTCGTCCTCAGGGCCCCGTGCGTGGGTTTGTCTAGGTTCCACTCAGGTTGAGATCAAATTGGCCCCATCCAGATGCTTCCGTTGAAAATAGTGTGTAGGGGCCAAATACTTTAGCTTTTGGAGCTTGACTCCACCTTGTCAGGTTAATGACCCTTTGTGAGCTCACTGGAATGACAGTGATGGTGTGCAAAAATGAATGTTCCTATTCAGACGCTCAAACATACTCACATCTACTTATAGCTCTGCCAGTGCTTTTCAGGTCACTGTAGACCAATCATCGTGATCTGTGTTGGGTCTACGGGAGACCACTTGCCACTATGAAAACATTCTTAAGGATTACCGTGCTATATAGACAGGATCTGTGTGGGCGTTGATGAGAGCTGATTCCAATCTGACCTCAGGGATATCCGACCTGCATTTGCGATATTAATGAAGATAATTATGCCATCATCAGGTGGGACGTTGGAGGTTGCAGGACTGCCCATGGACTACATAATCCTTCTTGATGAGGTTTTCTTGGAGAGACCCTCTTATATTGTAACCGTTTCACTGCACCTGGGACCATGTAACCATTGAGGTCACAATGCACACATATCTGCACATTTACATGAATGCTTTTAGCCTCATTATCAAAATAAATGAATTCATAATTCAGGCTGATATCATGTTGACACAAAATGACTTTGTATGTAGGAGACTGCCTGCTGCTGAAAATAAGGCATGGCATCAGTGTGAATGCACCAAATTACTAAGGCCAAAAGCAACATTAGGGCTGTGTTAGCAGCATTTTTGTGGATTAAACACTTTTATGTGATTGGATTAAACATAAAAAACAGAAACAGCCAGTGTTATTTCTATGTGTATTTCTATGTGAATTGCCATAAATATCCAAAGCATGTGATGTTCATGCTTGCTGTTAATTACCTTGAGTCAAGACTTCTCTTCCGCTTCCAGCTTCCAACACTCATTAGCAACATTAGCCAATGTTAGCTTTTAAATGGAACAATCGCTAATGTCAACAAATGACTGGCTCCAAGTGCAACACAGGTTCCAATGCAAATTCCAACACAAACTCTCCAAAAACAAAAACTATCCTGATTTTAGATTTTAGTGAAAAGACAAGTTATGCTGCATTCCGTTTACCTCGGAAGTTTGAGCTGGGAATGACATCACTCACAAGTTGAGCGAGTTCTAATCGCAAAGTTGGAAAAGCTAGCAATAACAGGATTTGTTTTCCTCCTTACCAAGATAAAAAAAAAATTATGCATTACTATCAATACAGCACAAGGCATGTTTTTTTTTATGTGTGTGTGTGTGTGTGTGTGTGTGTGTGTGTGTGTGTGTGTGTGTGTATTTGTGATTGGCCTATTTAGCCAGTCACAAATACACAACAGTGGCTGTGACAGCTAAGTTACAGCTAGCTCAGAAGTTGCCTAACTTTAAGCTTCTTATATACTGGAAATGGTTTGCTAATTGCACGCCGCTTTGCAGCTGACAGCTGGATGCTTGTGGACATTGCAGGCCCTGATTGCCTGGGTAATCCTCTAACATATTTACTACCAGGTCATATGTCAATCAGCTGTATTCCTTGCTGTATTTGGTAGTTGTTGCAATTGCTTGGAAGTTGAGAAAGGTTTCATCAGTGATTATTTCACTCTTAGTCACTTGGAGTGAGGAATGTTATTCAGTTTCTCAGGTCTCCGGTTTCAACGTCACCAGTGTGGATTTCAGTTTCAGTTTCGCTTACTATAGCCGTTATTTATAAAACAGTGGTTGAACGGGCTATCTTGCAAGTTAAATTTAGCCAAGAATTTAAAAAATCTGAAATAAAAGTGCTACAGTAGTAGGCAAAAAAACACAAGTAGGCAGTAGATAGCATTGATAAATTTGATGATCAGGTCAATGTTTTTGTCATAGTAATGCTCAGGTATATAATCTGACATAAAATAGCCCAATACCATAGAACAACACTGTCCTGTGTATATTTAATCAGTGTTCACACAGCTGGCACATATATGCAGCATGCAAACAGGAGCTGCAGGGTGTTGACTTTAGTACACAGTGGCCATGTGGCTCATAACTAATCATGCTTCCTGTTTGTCATGTTAAAAACATTAAAATTAAAAACTGCTCTTCGACTACATGGTCAAAGGACAGGCTTATGAGTTCATTCCTATTTGGTTGCATTATATTGTACACTCACTGATAAACGGACCGATTAAGAATATTGATTGGTGCAGTTTTGTTTGTTAGATTTAGCAAAAAATATTTTTTTTGTGTGCTATTTCTTTAGCCCTTGCACAAGAAGAAGAGTCATCATTTTAAATCATGGTACAAAACACTGATAGTTTAAACAACCACCAATAAGTGCACCACAGTGTTTGATATAGCTACAATATTTCGCTGCATCCATTAAGTGCACACACATGCAAACTATTTAATACTTCTGCTTTCCCCTGCCAACAAAAATAGCAAATGGAAGCAAACTGAACTATCAGTAATTATTTTGCTTTTAGGAATTATAGTCACACATAATAAAACCATCTGCCAAAAATACACATCTACTGTACCTACTGTCCAGTCATAACTCAACTGTTGCAGGTGGAAGAAATTACCAATATGTTTCCCATTTTGCAACAGATGATTTATTTTATTTGCAGAAACAGTCAACATCTGTGTTTTATCAACAACATTCAAATGGTATAAAACATAGTAAAAATGCCTTACTGAAAAGAAAAAACCCCAAAAAACTATATTCTAGGAAAAAGAAACTATCAAAATGAAAAAAAAAGAAAAATCTGATTCGGAGGCACTTAGGCTTTGGCAACACTCGTGCAGTCTGAGTTTTCCCAGGTGGTTGTAGTCAAGCGTCAAAGGCCATGATTACAATACTGGAAGCAAAGGGGAGGACCTCAAACACAATCACATCATGGGCTGATATGTCATCACTAGCCTTAAAGCTGCTGTATGGACTTTGTCACTAATATACAACGATCAGGAGTATCAAGAGTGGGCCTCTTAAATGGAGTATTTATCAAAGTTGTATGAAAATACAGTTCATTATGGACATAAATCAACTATTTACAACAGAAAACAGTGACGGATGCTTGGTGTTTTCTTCTTGGGAATGAAAAAGTCTCTGGAATTATTTGGTTCCTGGAGCCAACTTTCCATAAAATCAAAGGTTGCGTTGGTGTCCAGTTGAGCGCAGGCCTCGTTATTTTTTTTCTTCTTTTTTTTTGTCCGAAGACAATTTTTTAAAAACATCATTCAGAGCTGGGTGAAGCAGCTGAGTCTATGTCGTCATTTTCCAGCTCGTTGGGCGAAGCCGATTGTCCTCCCTTCACTCTCTTCCACTTCATTCGCCGATTCTGGAACCAAACTTTAACCTGTAGTGGAAAAAACACAGGAAATATTAAATTAGCATATAGAATGATGACTCTACAAAGTCGTTAGCATGGATACACTGTTGAGGTAAATTAATGTAGTTAATTGTGGATTAGGGGCAAAATTGCTAAGATGTCAAAGGTTGATTTCACAGCATTCTTTGTCTTTTGTGATCAGTTTTTAGATTTGTATAGATCATTAATTGAAAAGAACAATAGTAGCTCTAGTAGTATAAACACTTAGCACTACAAATAAAGGCTGTGGTCTTAGGACAATACAAATCTAAACCAGATACCCTTCTCACAGTACTTTGAATTTTTCACCACATTTGAACGTGTAACAGGATCACTGTGGCTTTTCTCTCCAGTTTGCAATTTTTAGCAAAATTTACAACACGGTCAGCAAAAAAATAGACAAATAATCCTCCACAAATCTCCCAGCACAGATTATAAATTCACTTGGTTTGCATTGGCCTTGCAGGGAGCACGGCTTGTCAGTACAAAGCACTGAGGCCTGGCTGCAAAATCACTCCAAATGGAGGGAGAGAGTATCGTATAGACAGCAGGTCAGAAAAGTCAACTGTCAGGAAGTCAGCCTACACAGGATGTGAGTTTACTGTACTTGTGGTGTGGACAGTGCTCATCTGTATCTTTGTGCTGTTCAAAAATGAGAATGAGCTCATATTTTAACTATCCAGACATAAATAGCTGCAAAAACACACACTTCCCGAGACCTGGGGAAATTACAGAGAAAAAATGACAGGAAAAAAAAAAGAAGAGTGAGCATTTGTTAAGTCTGTGACCAAGATAGTTTATTTAAAGCTTTAGAAAATGTCTTACTTAAGCCTTTATCAGTAGGTGTCTAATACAGTTGGTTCCTCAAACAGCTGGGGCCTGTACATTTTAGTTAACATTATTCACAGTGGAGGAAACAATACACTTTGAAGATTATTGTTAGCTGCGGATTTGGTGCGGTAGTGAGTATTTACAACAGAAGAATGGTGTGTGGGATGCTCCATGGCAGAGAGAAATACATGCATTTTAAAGCAAATAAACCTCAAGTTATAACCAGGCTATGCATACGCAGTTATTATGTTTTTAAACTACTTGATTATGTCAATTTGCAGACAAAAGCACAGGTTTATTTCCCTTAAAATTATAAACTAAACTCTCTCAAATAGATTCAAATTAACTCCAACCTGTGTGTGCACAATTCAAGGAAGCCTTAGGTGACCCCTGCACATCCCACTAGAAGTGTCCTCCCCTACAGCTCTGGGATTCAGATAAACCTCAGTCTGTCCATTACTCAGGACTGATTGAAAGGACGGCAAACTGCCAAAGCATGTAGGATGAATTGGAAAGCGCTGTCTGGTTGCAGTGGGAGCCCTGAGCGAAGATGGAACCTGGCTGTGTGTGAATATTTCTGTCCATGTATGTGTGTGTGTTTTTTAGGGATCTGGGAAATAGATTTAGGAGCAGACGGCAGCATGTGTGGTCACTGTGGCACCACGGCCTCATTAGAAGGAGCTGAGAGGGACAGTGGCTTGACAAGCAGACCGGGGTTTGATCCAGCAGCATCGACACATGTTCGCCCGATTTCATCGAGTCTGGAGCTGCCACCCACTCATTAAAGCTGCATGTCATTCTGCTAGAACCACAGAATGAAAACTACTGTGGAAAAAACATGTTCATTGTACTTCAAATGCCTCTGTGTTTATGCATTGGTATTTAGTACAGGGGAAGGACAGACATTAAGGCTTTCCAATATGTTCCAAGATGTTGTATGATGTTGATGTGGAATGATAACATTATGGTTCATCCTGCCCTGCTGGAAATTGTATATTAGGGAAAAGCGTTGTACCTGTCTCTCTGTGAGGTCCAGGTTTACAGCGATCTCGTAGCGACGCAGCCTGGTCAGGTAGTTATGGTGGGTGAACTCTGCCTCCAGTTCTCTCAGCTGCTCCTTGGTGAATGCTGTGCGCTCTTTTCTTGCCTTGCAGCTGGAATCCACCTTAAAGCTGGACTCCTGGATATCTGGAAAGAGAAAGGCATTTCATAGAGTGCGAGCCATTTGCCAGTTTATTCCTTTAAACCAGAGATTCCCAATCAGGTGTCAAAGTGCTCTAATGGGTTTGTCGACAGATGAAAAAAAAAAAGAACTATTTATGAATTGGGGTTTGAGTGAAGAAATGACTATTAATCAAAAGTCAAAGTAAAGGCATAGCTTTTTTCAGCTGCTCCCAAGGGGTCGCCACAGTGGGTGGATCCACATATTTGATTTGGCACAGATTTTTACACCAGATGCCCTTTCTTATGCAACCCTTCCAAGGATTTGTCTCTCTTCCTAGTTTTGAATTGCAGACCTTTCGTGTATTAGGTTATGTGAAAATATTAACCACTACACAAGGGAGCTACTTTCCAGCCAACATAACGGCATAAATCAGTAAAATAGAGGAGTAAGCCTAATGGCCAATAAGAATCGAAACTTTAAAAGATTAAAATTATCAGTAAAAATGAGAAGGTTCTGCGTGTTGGTGTATCTGCCAGTTAATACCTTTAGCTAGCTAAACATTGTGAAAAATAGTTTCAATGGCAAGCTAAGGTTATGAATATTTTCTTAGTTAATAGGATGGCTACCAAATTGAAATTGTTAGTTAAAATGTGGATCATCAAATAGAATTTTAACTTAACATCCTAGATAAATAATAGACTAATATAAGAAATTGGCTATAATTACAAATAATTTTGTGCCCAGACTAAATATTGTACATAGTTTAACAACAACAATAATAATAATAATAGTTAATATAGCAAGCTAAAATGAATAAATTGAAAATTATAGCTAATTTTCTGCTAAAATCATGAATAACAATAAAGAAATTTGCTAAATATGTGTTAAAAGATTGAAGAGAAAATTATACAGAAACAGCTGAAAGTGCTCAATAAGGAACAGTGGTATACATGAATTCAGATAAGAATATTTGAACATTAAGAAGCTGTGTTGATGGCTTTCTCTATGAGTCTGTTTGGATCAACTTAAAGGGAAAGTCAGGTGACACAAGGAAACCAATGCTTTAAAGCTGTTTGCAGTGAAGGTAATAAATGATCTGTACGATCCCATAATTTTTGTTTAAAACTAAATAAAAATGATCAGCATCCCCTTTCTTCACAAGCAGCTACACATGCAAGTGTGCTACTTGACCTGGAGACCCTTCATTTTCCTATCATTCACAGCTAATCTGATTTAAATTAGCTCCCCACTCATTTTGTGACTGGCCTCTAGTTCGCAATTAAACTGACCTCAAGACCCTTTTCAACCAACAAACCATAACTCCAAAGGCTCTTTAAAGGGTGGCCCCTCATATAGTAAACACTAAAACCAGCACTTTTAAAAGAGACCACCATGACCTGGCCTCACGAGTCGCGTACACCTGCAACCTGCGCATGCCGTGGTTATTTTTTGCTGCTTATTTCCCCTTATTTGTCTGTTCATGAACACATGCTGTAAGTGCAAATGTCTTCCTCTAAACATTCCTTCGCGATTTATGTATGTAAGAGCGTATCAGCACAGGGCAGGGGCCACCAAACCAGCCACAGAGGGCCTAAGTTAGTGGAGGAATGCAGCGGAACATCGTTAAAGCCTCTAACAAAAGAACAAAGGTGCGGATGTGTCCAGGTCGGAGTGCTACGTCGGTGTGGGTGTGTGTGTCAGAACAGTCCCCGTGGGAGTGCTCGGGGGAAAGATTCACATTAACTCATCTTTACATGACAGCAAACATCAGAAAAAAAGCCTTGAGATATCTCTGTGAATGTGGCAGTCAGAAAACCCACAGCCTAAGATTATTCAAGAAATAATGCGGTTTATACATTTATATATTTCCCTGCATTTCTCACATAGCTTAGAGAAATGGCCAAATTTTAAACCTCATTAACAGGATAAACATATATGAAAGCTGGTTGATTTACCTTTAAGTAAAACCTCTCCTGTGTATTGAAGGGAATGAGTTTCGGTAATAATTGTGCAGGGGTAGAGACACCAGCAGCTGATGTAATCACCAGAAAATGGTTCTAATTTGTCAAAGTGAGAAGTTCTGCTCTGTGCTTGCCAGAGCAGTGTGCCAGAATGTGAAATGGACTGCAGCACCTGGGCCAGATGTGACTGGGCAAACCAGGACATACAGTGTTTGTGCACACGTGTAGTTTTTGTGTACAAACGCCTGATGTGCCATGTGGTTTGTTAGGGAAAAAAAGAAGATTTGTTTTTGTGGTTCAAGAATCAATAACGACGGGCATCCTCAAGTGTGCCGACTTTTGAAATTTCCCAAGACAGGTTTAGCTGCTTTGAACACCTGGCAGGGCACATACTGGCTCTCACCAAACAGGCCCCCAATAAATATCCTGCACAGCCAGAGGCCATAAACTAGCAGGGAGAGGGCTTCTGCACACAGCAGGGTCTCCCAAAGGCAAACAGCATTTGGTGCCTTTCTGGGTGGATGGTGCAAAAGGAGTTTGTCTTCATCAGGACTGAATTAAAGTTGTTGTAAATTAGTGATTGTTTTAAAGCAGAAAACCCCAGGCGAAAACTACTGATCGCAAAAATGTGTGTGCTAAAGTTCAAGACTGAATTTCACAATGTATTAAGACAGTTTATTGGCTAACGTTTATTTTAACCCCTTTAGATAGCGTCTTTAAACTGTTCTCAGTTAATAAATGTTTAATTTCTTATTACAGCACTTTATGAGAATGGTGCTCAAACTTACTAGGCCTTTATTAAAGGAATAACATTTACCAAGAACCTCATTCATCGTCCTAATCCTAATAGAGATTAAGCATATAGTTGCAAACTATTTGTATTCTAAGATATTTTAACCAAAATACTTCATAAGCTTGTGATGCAATGGGCAACAGTATATCTTTCTATCAAGCCAAAGATTTCATGGTTGTACATTTCCAGTAACTGAGCACAGTTTTCTGTTTTTCTATTTTATACCCTTGGCTTATGGTCATGGACCCCTAGGTATGATGTACATTTGTGCAGATCATGCTGCATTTAATCAAAATCAGCAGCTTTAAAAAATATTTTTTTAAAAAACATTTTTACACCTACCTGAAAAATCATTTTTTGCATGTGTAGAATCATTTTGCAGTGCTTTATAGTATACATTTATTGCTTGTTTGTATATGGATGGTTCACAGAAGCAGTTAAATTGTTGAAAAAGCATCAAAATGCATGTAGCAAAACCATCCGAGCTGTTAGAGGAAGTATATTTGCTAACAGTTACTGTGTTAAGTGTTAACACGCTCATTTTGTAATGGTGAAGAACTCCTTTTCATGCATGTCAGACCTTAAAATTTAATATCAAAACCATATTGATTTTAGGGCCAGCAACAGTCAAATGTTTATAACAGCATCCCTGTTAAATATCACAGTGTTATGATGGTCAAATTTTGGATTGCAGTCAATGTCAGATCATATCATTTTGGTTTTAAACATTTGGAAACTTTACCCGAGTGCACCACATTTCCATATCAGAACAAATACACAGAAGCAGACCGTATAGCAGCTGCTATGTATGTGCATGTAATGTGAATGCCTTCAGGACATTTTCCTAATATATGCTCTCCTACCAGCTAGTCAATTCGAAAAAGTGAATGGTTCTTTTCTAAAACCCAGAACTGATGCGGTGGTCAGACATGTTGCATGCACTCAGTGGGAGATTATGTTACGGCTTAACGACAGGAAAATGTCAATGGATAAGAATGTAAGAAGTGGGCTCACAGGAAAGTGATTTTACCAGACGTGGTCTGGCATGTTTTCAGCGTAGAGAGTGGAGGTTACAATAAGGTAAAAAAAAAAGGAGGGTGGGTGGAGTGGGCTGGTGTGTGGGGTGCTCCCTCACCTCCTCTTTTTCAATTAGACTCATGTCTGTTGCATGCATTGGTCATGTAGTATTTCCAAATTTGCACGCTTTACAATCAGACATGGTCTGTTATGTTTGGACAGGTCAGGGTTAAATACTGGACACTTTAGATGACACCATCTTTAGCAACATGCACTAGTGTACTTCTCTATGTGGTTTGAATTCAATATTAACATTTCTGGACACTCATCGCTCTTATGAATGCGTTATTTTTGTATTTGTCTTGGTCTTTTAATTCTGTTTTGCGTTCCCCTTTTTTAACTTTTGTTTTAATTTCTTTGATATTTGCCTGGCAAGTGGAGTGTTGGCTATATGAACAACAATTACGCCACACTTGCTTGAGTTCTAATAACAAAATTTCATTTAAATATATATTAAAATGTGTAAAAAGTTACATTTTTTCCAAAGTATGGATGCTCATTTTTCTTTCCTGTAAGACGCATAAATCACTGTGTTTATTACAGGCTAAATTTACCAAAAGCGTCTACAAATGAAATATGAACGCTCCATATGTTCTGGATGTGTTTTTATTTTGCTAGGGTGACAGTCCCCATAATAAAACCTTCACACATTTAGATTCACTTTAAAACTAAATGTTTCCTTTGGCCTGTTGTTCTGCTGCTAATGTTTCGCCTGAAACTTTTAGGATTGGTCTGTCGTCTGTTACTTTTGTGTCCTATTAGCAAGTGTGAAATATGATAGGCGAAATTATCTAAGGGCATTACTTCTTATTGATGTTTGAGCATAAAAATATATTAAGTCATTTTTTGTGGGAATTTTTTTAGGAAATATCTGGAAAGAAAAATTGTATAAAATTAAATTAAATACATTGAAATATCACCAAATACAGTTTTTTCAACCCTTTTATCCGCTTGAAAAATTCATAGCAGCAATCAATACGCAACAGGATTGTGTTCAGGAGAAAAATACAGCGCAAAATCCCCAAAAGGCCTTTAAACGCTTTCCTCTTCACACCCAACTTCGTTTTTTATCATAATTTTTAATGTCGCCCTGCTATAATAAATCAAAGGTCTTTTTCCAACGGATACAGCAGCAAAATGAAAAGTTCAAATGCCTCATGAATCATCCTTTTGAAAGCGCTGGAACAATAAGAGGATGCAACTGCTACTTAAAGTGTGTCTTGAACACAAAAGTCTCGTCACCTACTCACCTTTTACATAGCGATCGTGTGAGTGTGCTGCTTTAAGGCTGATTTGGTGAGGAAATGCAGAGAATTTGTGTCATTGCCAGCTGTGATACAGGGCGCGGGAGGAATTCTTGACCTTGATGCGTATTTTTTTGATTTTCAGTGAGGTAAGAATGACGTAAATATTGTTTTTAGTTGATCTGTTTTTACACCTGTGCAGTAGTTTGGCATAAAAACTAAAGGAAAACAATTGTGGAAGTGTTTGTTTTTTTTTTTAGTCTAAAATTTATCAGAGACCCTAAACACAAAAACAATATATCTGCTTTTTTTTTTTTTACCACTCCTAAATTTGGCTATTTGCTTTCAAATGCCTGTAGGGATCACTGTTTTTTCTGTTCTCCTATACTTTTAAACCAACACACACCAGGTGGCACCCCTTGATCCCAGCTCGCTGGCTTACCTGTGACATCTCTTTTCCTCTTATTGGAGCTCTTCTTGTCCGAATCGGCCGACGCCACGCTCTGGGGTGAGTATTCTCCCTCCATACACCCGGGCACGGTGCCTGGAAGCCTGTCCCCCCCTACACTGTCCAGCTCAGGCCCTCCAGCCCCACTGCCGCCGCCACCTATTACTGCAGGGGCAACAGGCGGGCAGGCCTCAGGTGCTCTCACACGAGTCTCACATTGGTTGAACTGCCAGTCAGCTCTTTGGTAACCCCCTTGGCTCTCTTGGTACAGTCTGTCATCGCGAGGGTAGGCTGCGTGCGGCGTGCTCGACACCAGGCAGGAGGTGGAGAAATCTGTGTAGGCCAGGAACTCAGGCTTCTGGTGGAGGGAGAACGGGGCCTGTTGGTAGGGCGACTGCAGATTCACCCCTGGGACCCCAGAGTGAGGGTTCCTCATGCAGCCCCAGATGGGGCTGCTGGGATGGGCGCTCCGCATGCAGCTGCTGGCCGGCTGATCCATCGTGATGCAAAAACCCTTCGCACGAGCACAGTCTTTTTCCTGTCGAGGAATTTCAACCTCTCTCAGAAAGTAAGTTAGGACTAGAAATCGATATCTTTGTCACTTTTGAGTAATATCCACTTCAGCTGACTAAATGAACACCATCGTCTCACTGCATCTACTCACTTCTGTCAGAGGCTGTTGACGCTTCCACAGCCCAGAGCACGTGAGGATAGACACCTTCCTGTGACAGCACGTTTCCCTCTCTCTCTGGGAGCGTGCGTGACGTCCTTTGGAGCCTCTGGTCCTGACACACTCTCACACACTTTCCCTTCTGCGTCGCTCTCACACACACCCTCTCTCCTTCCCAGATCTAACCAAGTTGCTGCTCTTCGGGAAAGCGGCATCCACAACTGTATAACTCCCGTTCTCGGGCTGGCTGTTTTCACAACTCTTCTAAGGCATTCTTGACAAGTGAGCCCTCCTCCTTTTTAAACATATAGGTGGGAAAGAGTGGCAAGTTTATGGAGTGTAACGTGAGACTGCAGAGGAGGAGCCCTGCCGGCCACATGTTGGTAGTACCCTCCAACCAACCCTGCCTCATCAAACTATTAATCACAGGGGAAATTTTATATGCACATCTAATGGGCTTTCCAGACGTGGTGCTTTTAAAGGGACATTGTCTGAAAAGTATAAAGCAAGCACCCACCCACATGGGAGCTGGGGGACCCTGACTTATTTCAACTCCTTAGTGCTTTCTGACACCCAATTTAGTTCCTTTTTTGACACCCTTTAGAGGAAAGTTAACCGTAACCCTTTCCCTCTGCACCCCTGATCCTTGCCTGTCCTCTCCAATCTGAAAAGTCTTTCCTTTTTTTCCTCGTGCTGTTTTTATGGCTGTGTAAGTGTGTGTGCACATTACTGCAACACACCTAAATCCACCTGGCTGGACTTATTTAACTTTGAGGTGAAAGGACAACTGGATTTGATATTGACTATTCAAGCGCTCACACCTCCTGAGGTTTTCTCACGTTATTGAAACACAGTATGAAATTTCACCGTCGTATTTTACACATACAATCTAATATTTCCCCTAAGCAAACACTGTGACTGGGAGGGGAGAGGGGGGTCTTTGTCAGTTCATTTTAATTTTGTGATCCTGCATCTCTTACTAAATCTCTCTGAGATGTCAAGCAGCGTCAGCAGCAATTGTTTGCGACACCAATCACATGTAGATTAACCGCATTTGGATGAAGCAAGGATGCAATTATTCAATTTTCTGATCGCTGATTTCTAATCTCTGCATGCTACACATGATAGAAGCCACTTCCCCATGAAGTAATGTCTCTAATACCATTGAAACCTTTTTGGCTAAACCAAATTTTGGATTCAATTTCAGCGTATCTGTTACCCAATAAACCCGCTGAACCGCACTTTACTTAAATGCAGTTTTTCTTCATACTGCTCATATTTGCGAGCTGAGCTGCTTGCCTTCCTCACGCGTCCTTACTCTGGTCTTGACCTCTCATATCGCACCTTGGAAATAAGACAGAGCTGGAAGCTGTGGGAAAAGAAGTGAGAAAATAAACATGTTAATAAAGACACAAGGCACGCTAAAGGAGAACTGATTTGAAGCCGTGAAGAAAAAACAGGAGTTGAAAATGCCCTCTTTCATTTTCTAAATACTAGAAAATAATTTGACCTGCTTTTGAGAACATTTCATTCAGTTGCCGCAAAACAAAAATAATAAGTAAAACGTCATAGCAACAAATAAAAGGTTGGAATGACATTAAATCAGATTAGGAAATGGGCAACAAAACCAGGAGTGGACAAAAGAGAAGAGAGTAAGTGAGACGGAGAAGGAGAGGAAGAAAGGAGAGTGTTTGAGGTCACACACCAAACCCTTTCCATTTAGCCAGCAAATTGTTGAGCCATGAAGCATCCCTCGCTTTTACTGGCAGTCTGAGCCTTGGCCACACCGCAGGGAGCAGGAGTTACTCTACATTTGTGGTCAAAGAAGAGGCCATCTGTGTGTCAGTATAAATTAGTGTGTCTGTGAGTGTGTGTGTGTGCAATGTGAAAATTTACGTCATTAAGAGAGCGCACATGTGCGTGTGTTTCAAGAAGAAGACACGCAGGGTATTTTTATGTGTTTCGGTGAATGTGAGAAGCTATGTGTTTGACATTAAAGGATATAGAAATGGTCAGCATAAAATTTATTTGCCTAGAAAGCCATATGAAGTAAAGTCAAGCAAGTAAACATTAGCAGATATCTGCTTATGAATATGTGGATCCAAAAGAGTTATAGCTTTGTTCTATTGACAAATACAATTTGAATTGGTATATGAACAGACCTGCTTAGTAAGAAAAGAGATTTAGGGCCAGATTTATTGACATATTGTGCTTTTGGTTTTGGAAAAGAAAAAAACTGTCTGTTTTTACAAAGACAGCGCAGTCACCAAACCAATGTAAGAGGTGGGAACTCAGAGATTTTTGCACTTTACCCAGTTGCACATGTATTTCTGGGAGTTCTTTTTGTAAGGTGCAAAATATAGAGAGGAGAATATTTAAACTCAAGCACACTGATTTAAAAATGCAATTCACTGCTAATTGTACTGATATTAGAAAAAACCAACCCATCCTATATTTTGTACTTGATATTCAAATGAAGTCACTACACCTGTTTTTAGAAAATACTGCAGCTTTCGTAAACCACACACATGCTTTTCTAAAACTGCACAAAACCTCTAAATTAATGTATGGATAAATAGCTATTACCGTGTTTTCCGCAATATAAGGCGCAAAATCTTTTAAGTTTCTCAAAAATTGCCTTATAATCCAGTGCCCCTTATGTATGAATTCTGCTTGTGCTTACTGAACTTGAACCAATTTTATGTGGTACACGGCGCTCAAAAATCTGTCAAAAATGTTTTAGTATGACTTTGGTAAGCTACGGAGCCGCACCGCTTGACATATTGTTGGAGCATTACGGCTGCCGTAGTTAGGAGCCTCACGGAGTAATCTGGGTCCAAGACTCTGTCAATTTCAGGTCCCAAAGTCGAACAACCACTGCGGCATCACTGAGACTTAAAAACTGTCTAAATTCTTTCATCTTTAATAAAATTATCAGCGTTGCTGCTTTACCAGGTGTAACAACTAAGTTTAACATCCAGGCATCCATGAAAACAGAATTTATTAAATTTAACAGTCTGAAGTTAGCAGGAAGTAAGCAGGAAGTTAGCTCGCTAGTTTCCACCTAAACATGATATAGCATGCTCTGACTGAGAGATTTCTGAAAACTAAACAGCAGTGGCGTTTGCAGGGTTACTGAAGTTGGCCTAGCTGGTATATAATGATGTGCTAGGGACACAGTTATGTTAGCATAACATAAACACAGTGAAGCTGGAGGATGAATGCTAACTTTTTTCCACTCGATAAAAGTTAACGGGTTCAGGATGGTTAGGGACAAATGATATCGCATGGCAGGATGTTGTAAACGGACCAAACTTCAGTCAGGAGAACTGAGATAATCCATCCACAATATGAGGTTAGTCATTAATATACTGAAAGAACATGGAAATAGAGCAGCTGCGAGAGAATTCAACATTAATGAATCAATGGTACAGTAGAGGATGAAGCAAGAAGAATAAGTTGAGTCAAATTTGACTAATCTGACTGTTTTGTTTCGCTTAATGCACCCATTATAATCCGGTGCACCTTATGAATGAAAACAGACTTGTTCATCGACAGTGCACCTTATGGTCCGAAAAATATGGTACTAGAATTCATTCAGAAAATTAATGCCATTCATCTTGAATGTAATAAATACATACATGACATTCTTGCCCATGCATACTAGATTTGTGCAATAAGTTGTGATAGAATAAATTTATTTTCAGGGTTGTTCTACATCTGATCTGCCATATCTTGTCACTAACTTTAGGGGTTATAAAGGTCTATGTCAGTATATCAAACACACAAAGGAAAAGGAAAAAGGAAAACAGAACTTACCCTAAAGATAGACTTGATAGGATATAAAAATGTCCCAGTAGCTGTGATAGAGCTCAGAAGAGAACTGCTAAAATCCCCACGCCTCACATACTGTAGCCCAATCTACTACTACATGGACATCTTTGTGAAATTTCAGCTAGGTTTTACCTCACCATCTCCCCAGTGCAACATCCTTCTAATGTCCTATTGAGCTTGTGTGTTAATAGAGCAGGTAATCATCCGGAGAATTTACAGCTTGCTTACTCAATCCAAGCACCCATTCCTCCATCGCCACACGTGACCCAAACGGAGTATTTCCCCTAGTGAAAACACATCTGAAATCTTTGCTGTTGTCTTCTAGATTGGAAAATGCCCCGTGTTTCTAGTCTGCATGTATCCACATCTCCGGCCTTTAAAGCAAAACAAACTTTGTTCTGTGCTCTCAGCAGTGTTTTTGGGTCAGATTTAGAGCTGGAATGGATGAAATTAACTTTTCGTTGCAGAAAAAATTAATGGAATCTTTGTATTATTTCCTGTAGAAGCATAGAGGCAGTGTGAGAGTGCAAGACAGAGCCCAAGAGCCAGTGTCTCTTTTCTAAAATTTCACTACCTAACTTACTTTACAGCTACTCTTGATTTTATTGGAATGAATTGATTTTACTGTTACATTTTGCAATTATAAAAGCCATGCAGTTTATGTTCTATTTTTCCACAAACATACAACTGTCAACTAATATTCGAACAACACAAAAATGGAAAATCAGCTGATTTTTACATTTATTGAAACTGAATCCAATCCTCTTTACTATCACAGTAGTGAGCAACACTGCTAAACTGGGTGTGCAGAAATTTTAGGGGGTTATGCACAATTGAGAAAGTACGTGTGTCCAGCTTTTAAAGACTGACTCCATCAAACAAACTGTCATTTGTTTTGGGCTTTTCAATGGATTTGTCTCCAATAGGAGAACTCTATACCATCACCGGCCTTATCCTCTAAGAAACTGAAGTTTTGTTTATGTTGAAAAATGTTTTACACATTCGATTTAGTAATGCATGTGAACATTTCTTGTAACGTTGTGTTTATTTAAGTGAAGGGGTGAGTTTTTGAGAAGCCTATGAGTCGGTGGACTGAAGTCATAGGCACCACACATTGCAGATAAATGAGCTGGACATGAGTCACATCACCCCTCACCCTGCTGACAACCTGTTTCTGTCAGTCTAGCTCCATGTGTGTGTTTAAGAGTGTGTGTTTGTGCACAACAGAGAAAAACTGAGAGAAGAGAGAGAATAAGAGAAAGCTCGAGTACGCACACGCATGCAGAATTTGTAAAAGACTGCTTTGCTGTCATGTCCCTATAGATGCAAACTTCCATATGAATTGAATATATATGTATGTATGTATGTGTGTATGTGTGTGTGTGTGTGTTTTCATCTAATCCATCTTCATGACACTGGCAGG